GCGACAGAGCAAAACACTGTCTCAAAAAAAAAGAAAAAAAAAAAGAAAAAAACAAAACTAAAAACGGGTCTACATCCTAAAAGAAAACACAGATGATGCAGTTGCTGTTGGCAGGTTTTAGCCTCATTGTTTCTGCTGTGCCGGGTTCGGCTTTGTTTTTGCTGCTTTCTTTAGAGGCAGGCAAAGGCACAGAGTTCAGGGATGTGAAGTGCTAACGGGGATAGACATCTGATCTCTGGCACTTCCCAGCTGTGTGACCTTGGACAGCTCGATTCACCTCTCTGGGCTTAGTTCCAGGTTTCTACCAACGCCCCCTGCTTCAGGGATCAGTCTATGTAAAGCACTAATTTAGAAGTAGCTGCTGGTATACTCACTGCGCTGGGGCTTTAAGAGGAGCTGCGGTGTGGATTTCTAGATTGAGACCTGCAACATTTGGTTTTATTTCCTGCTTATCAGCCACATTCCACCAAGCCCAGGACCAGTCCTTCCTAGGCCTGCCCCAGGCTTTCTTTTCAATCTGTGCTCCTCCCAGGATTCCATCTGCCACCATACTTTTGTGTCTGTCCCCGTCCGAATTGCTGTTTTCCAGATAACCTCAGACCTACCCAAATGCCAACAGCATTCCTCAAACAGAGCAGAGATGCCAGAATAAGCCAGCAGCTTCCTGCTCTTTGCCCCAGAAAACATTTCAAGTGATCAAGTGATCAGAGAGAGGGAGGGAGGTGGGGAGGATGCTGTGGCTGCTTATGCAACAAGCTTTAATCCCAGGTTAAAATCCACCACGCACACCAGCGGCGTATTTTATGTCCTCATCGGGTCGTGGAGTTAGCTGCATGGGAGAGCTGCCACCAACCCCACAGTCCTGTTTGTTCCTCCAGAAGTGGCACCCGCAGAAACAAACAGTATTCCATATGGGATGGTGGTGGAGGGCTGCCGCCCACATGGCTAGGACGGCGAGCACCGGCAGCTTTACTGCGGCCACCACCTCTTGCCTCCCCCTTTTGCTCTTCCTCCAAAGAGCAGGAAGCTGCTGGCTTATTCTGGCCGTGTGCAGGTTTCTACTTCCAGGAAGAGCATTTCCCCCCCCCCCCCCCCCGCCGCCCCGACTTCTGGTGAGGCCTAGGCCTGCTGTCCTGAGCAATGGTGGTGGAGCTGTCCCTCCCTGCAGCTTGGCCTCAGAAGCCTAAAACAATGACAACAGCAACACCCTATCCGTTTTCATAAAGCCTGGGCCCTGCCCTGTAGTAAAGCATGTTTCGATTCTCAGCTCGTTCCTGAGCCTGTTTGCTAGGAGATTCCCGGCCAGGAAGAATTTATGTACAAGCAGTGGGCATCTGTTGTCCATGTGGGGGGTCAGGGGGCAGGGAAAGCAAGTCATCAGCTCTTCGTGGACAAGAAAGCCCCCAAGTCCTAATTTTGGGAGGAGGGGAGACTTTATTACTCCCGAGTTATGCCTCCCAGCATATGGCTGCGTTCACTCTGGGAGCTTTCTCCAGCCTCTAAAGAATGGTGTTTAGCTTATGTAGTTCCAGCTTGCTGTTTTAAAAAATCCTGTTAATGGAGCACCTTGTCATTGAAAGTGCGGAAGAAGGAAAGCAAGCGAGAAAGCCTGGACATGTGAAGGTCCTTTTCGATCTCTGGGTACAGACCAACTGTGCAGGCAGCTTTAGGGAGGAGACCGGCAAAGACCTCCTCATGCAATTGAAGTGGGTAGAATTAGAGGCAGCTCTGCAAAACCAGTTAATATTTTACTGGGGAGAAGTGCCAGAGATGGGGGTGGGGGGGCTGCCAAATGGAGGGCTGTGTGTGAAATCGCTGCTCCATCTGCCTTGGGGGACGAGAAGAAGCATTCTCTGTGCAAATAAATGGAAGCAAGAATCCTTAGGAAGCCCAAGGGATTTGTCTGCTCACCGACTTGGGCCCAGCTCCCCCAGGCTCACACATAACAGGGATGATTGTGGCAGGAAGGGCTGACCTACGGGGGTAGGCCTGACGCATAATGGGGGCTCTTGTTTCCTGGCTGAGCATGCCATCTTTCTGTCTCCCTCTGGATTGAAATGGCTTCTCAGCCCGAGAGGCACTGCCTGTGCCCTGGATTCACAAGGTACACGCCTCCCTGGGAAGCAAAGGCTGAGAGACAGCGGCTCTCTCTCTCTCTGTCTGCATCTGCCAGCAGAGCTGCAGCTGGTATTTTTCCACAGGCCTTTGCTGCGATCTCAAGGCCTAGTTTTTCCCAGCCAGGCCCTGAGTCCGAGTGAGGGTTAACAGGCAGGAAGCCGAAGGCATCCTAGGCTAATACGGAAGTCAGATTTGTGTTTAACTGACAGGTTTAGCAGGCCTCGGTCGTGGGGGAGGGGCCGGGAGGGAAGGGAAGTTTGTAGATCCAGGCATGTGGCCTGCCAGGAGGGCTTTGGGCTTTTCTTAGGGTAAGGACCGAGAGGGGCCCCCGTTGGCATCGTGGCAGGGAGGCAGGAACCCGCGTTGGTTTTGCCTGCAGGGCTGGCTGGGCAGGGTGAGAGGCCCACTGCTCTCTGGCCTGCCTTGCAAGGAGGCATGGGGACAATGACTATGCAAACTTGACCACTCTGCTCCCCTCCTCCCCTCAGCAGCGGCTCCTCGCTCCTCTGAGAAGCCAGGGATGTTCTCTGCTGATTTTTCGGGGCTCCCCGGGGCTGCCTGCTTCCCCCAGCTCCTCAGAGGCCTGCCTCAAGCCCTTTCTTCTGGCTCCCTTGGCTGTTTCCCCTGGCCTCCCCACTCCCCAGCTTCCTCTTCCCCTTGGGGAGTTACCCTGCTGGACTGTTCTAGAAAAGGGCTGGCCTTCCTCCCTGGACAAGAGCCGTTTCTCTGGGGGCAGGTGAGGGTGACCCGTCCCAGCCCACCTCAAGAAACTCTCTTCCCAGGGGCATCTGGGCCTCGGGCTTCCCTGGAGCAGGTCAGGCTGGCTGCCCTGGCTGGCCCGTGCCCGGAAATCTAGCCAGGGTGTGGGAGAAGTGCGTGTGGGGGCCCCTTTCCCAAGTTTTTCTTGCTGCAAAAGGCCTAGCTTAGCCTGTCTTTTTCTATGCACAGGATGGCTCTTGCTCACCCGAGCCTCACAAAGATAATCGCTCAGGAAGTGTTTCAGCCAATCCGGGGCGGCTTTACACTCCGATTTGCCGGGGCAGCCAATCGGGGATGAGCTTTTATTAGGCGGCCAGATCATCAGCCGAAGTGCCAAACCCTTTTTCTGTGAGAACTAGGAGCCTGTCCTCCATGTTTTATAAGTATTGACATTACACAGTGTTAACAATGCATCCACAGAGGTAAGCTCGACTTTTTAACCATCTTTTTTCCCCCTCCCTCTGAGACATCCGAATTGTGGGCGAGCAGTGTGATTTCTCTGTGGCTGGCCGTGCCACACTCACCCCCAGAGCACTTATGTTAACTTGGAACTGTTTAGAGAGAATTTTTTTTGCTTTCTTGGGTCACATGGCTCAGTAGCCATTAGCCATAGCTTGATTTTGCAAACTGGCAAGGGCCTGGCACACCTTTCCTTCCACCAGGACATGGTGTTTCTGGAAGAGTTTGAAGCTAGATCCTGGTATGCCAAAAAAGAAGCTCTTTTTTTTTTCCTTTTTTTTTCTTTCCCTCTCTTCCTCTCTCTCTCTCTCTCTCTCTCTCTCTCTCTCTCTCTCTCTCTCTGAGCAGTCCCCCCTCCCTCCCTGCACTATTGTCTTCTCTTTTGCCACATGCCCTGCTGGGGGAAGAAAATGGAAGGTAAGCAAGCAGGCTCCTCTCCAAGGAGAGCTCATGGCAGACAGCAGAGCAGGCAAGTTTGCCTCTCCAAAGAGGTTCTGGGAAGGCTGGATAAGTTTTGACAAGAGAGGAGCGTGTTTGCAAAAAGAACTGAGCCCTCAGCAGAGCAGTGCTAAGGAGAGTCTAGCTCCTGGGGCCTAGGTGGGTGGTGGTGTCTGTACACGGAGCTTCTCTTATTCTAAGAGCTTCTGCACTTGAAACTACTTTGTTCAGCCTGTTTTCTTGACTTAGGTTGCTACAGTGTTCTGCAAGCCAGCCTACAGCCAGCAAATGTTTCTGAAAGTGTTGGAGGAAGTTTTTGGAGTAGGGATGGGGATTGGGGGGTGGGGGGAGAGAGATCTTGGACAACATCCTGCAAAAAAAGAAAAGGAAAAAATCTGCAAGGTCTCTGAATCCCTTAGCTTTCCACTCTTGCATGATTTTTCAAGGAACTGATGTTACCTTTTACCCTTTTCCTTTTCCTCTCCCTTTTATACATTGTATCCTCCTCTGTTCTGTGTGATGGAGTGTAGAGGAAATAAAATCATGTCTTTGGCTCCTGACAGCATTCCATATTCAGTTGTTGGGTTGTGGTGGTGTTGTTGTGTGTTTTTAATAATACCATGTAACTGTTTAAAAAAATTTCCTTTTTGATCAAGTCCCAAATCTGCCAGCCTGTTCTCTCTTCCTAACTGTGGAAAAATGAGACGGTTGCTTGAACATTTGTTGGGTAAGTAAAGCAATCCATTTCCTCTGTGACCATGTTTGAAGAGTTTTGTGAACATTCGGGGTCTGATTGTAAGAGGGGGTCTTGGCTACAGGAGTTGGGGGCTTCATTAGCAGGAACAGAACAAGGGCCTTTTAAAGAGTGTCTTGATTTTAGGTGACTGTTTGAATCCACTGGTTTCCCTGATAACCTGCAGCTAGGATTGAAGATTACACTTCCTGTTTACCCCCAGTCAGGGAGAAATGTTCAGTTCATTGTGACTTGACTCTAGACCTTTAATGGGGTTTGTTTGGATATTCAACCTGTGAGTAGGTGATGTGCTTGTGAAATGAAACTGTTTGTGCTTAGAGGTGCAGAGACCTAAAAATACTGCAGGGGTGGGGGGGAAGGGGAGGGGGCAGAAGCTGGTGGTGGTGGTGGTGGTGGTGGTATGTGTGTTTTGGGGGGGTGGTTGTCAGTGCTCGTGTTTTAGGATTTTTATATATATAGTACAAAATCTCATCCACCACCAGTCTGTGTTTTATTCAGGACTCACTGACACACATTTCGACCTTTTTCCAGGTCTGATCTGCACATCTGTATGCATGCTGGCCTCACATAAGATTTCTCTTTTTACATTTCCCTTGCTCTCCTTGGGCTGCAGCTAGAAGTTAAGTGGAAAAAGTAGTCTTGTTTAGCATTACCTTCAGAATTTCCCTAGAAGTTCTCTATGTAAATTTTCAGCTTGGAGACCAATCCGGCATGACTGTAAATGCAGGAAATATATATTCAGTTGCTGTGTTATGTCAACTTTATGGAGTCAGTAATCTTTTTTCTTTCAAATGAGTGTCCAGTAGCCCACTTTCTGACATCAAATTGGAAAAAGGCTCATTTAATCAGGAGAAATGTACCACATTCTAAGTTGAGAAAAGTCTGTGCAAGGCAGGCCAGCTTAGCTTCTTAGAATAAAACTGCAGGCAGTTCATGATGTTATATACTTAAAACTGAGCAGTTCCACTGCCCCAAACAAGTAAGTTCAGACACTCAGCTCTTTTCTTTGTTCTTATCTCCTTGCAATATGTAAATGGAGATTACATATTGAGGTTCCTGTGGCCTCCCTAGAAGCAGTGTCTAATCATAAGACTCCTGGTTTGGTGCCTTCAACGTTTGCATAATACTGTGTTTGTTGGGCTGGAAGGGAACTTCAGGGCAAGGCATTTGTCCTCTAAAAGCTTGCATTAAAATGGCTCCCACAGGTTTGGAGAGCCAAGATCTGTTTTCAAATGTATAACCCCCAGCAAGTTCCCAACCCTGGACCAAGCTAGCCACTTTTCCTCTCGTACTGTGGCCCCCACCAAGCATGAGTCTGTAAAAAGTTAATTGCTTTCAAAGTAGCATTATTTTCCAGTTTCAGGAAGTGGTGGTGGTGGTGGGGGATAAATGTCTGCATTGCAGCATGACTAGGTAGGGACGGCAGTGCTGGCTCCCAGAGCAGCCCAATGGGGTTTCTACTCTAGCTTTTAAACCAATAGACATGGATGAAAGGTTAAAGATTGACAATTGCAGTGGCTGAACTAAGAACAGGCCTTCTGGAAATTTCTACCATCTTTGTTTCTTTTAGGAAAAGCAGATGTGCCAAGCGGAAGAGTCTCCTACCTTCCATTCCTAGGTCATCTGTCTTCCCTGCTTTCCCCCAGCCCCCCGTTCTTTTTCTCATCAAGGTAGAATGTTCTCTGCCTCGTTTCTAAATTGCAGAGGGAGGAACAGAATGTTGGGCTGTTTTCCTTTTTCCTTCTGCCTCCTCAGTCCCCAAAGAGGATACACAGCTGCAAGGAGCAAACACAGACACACTGAAGCTTTTGATTCCTCCTTTTTTTTTTCCTTCAAGACCCTCCAGGATGGATTCACTTTCTGCTTGGGGAAATTAAGTGGCATTCACGTGGGGGAGGGGGAGTAACTGCTTTTATTAGCTCCAGAAAATGGTCACTGTTCAGTCTGTAACTAGGAATTAATTATATATAATCACTCAGTAAACTTTCTACAGAGTTTTTCTAATTGCTGAGCCTGAACATAGTTAGCCCGTTGGCGCCAAGTCCAGTTACTTTTATAATTAACAGCTCAAAGATTTGAGTCAGAAAGAAAAGAAACAATTGGGGGCCTCTTGGATTATAAATTAGGGATGAAAACAATAGCTTTTTTTCCTTTCTTTCTTGTAACCCCTTTTCTTTTAAACAAAACATTCCCCCTTTTCTTTCCCTGGGAGAACCAGTGGGGAGACTGCATCAGGTCTTAAATAGGATAGGGTGGGGGGAGACACTTTTTAGGAAGCGGGTGGCAGTAACCTAACCTTTTTAGGAAGCGGGGTGATAGAAAACCCAAGGTAGGTTTTTAAAAGTCCAGCCACTTCCAATGTGTGATGTCTTTGTTTCTTTTGCCCTCTTTCCCCTTCTCTCTCCTGTGGCAGAGGCAGCAGACATTTGTCAGCCTGGGAACCCTCAATCTGGCTTTGCCTCTGATTGACCCTGGAAGAAAGATACATTCAAAGGGGCCTTCGCTACTGCACAGCAGAGATTTAAAAAGGGAATATGTTTCGAAGCCCTTTGGTTGCTCTTAAAATGCAAAATCTGAGCAAGGGTTCACCCTTGGCTTCAGGTTGCTAAGATTATGGTCGCCCTCCCCCCCACTTCCCACTCCCCTTGCAGGCAAACAAGCAGGCAGTGGCCATGCCAGCTCTGCAGCCAGTGTGCTGCCAGCCTGCCCCCCCATCCAGATTGCCTACCTACTGGCCGGTGGGGGCCAGTGGCCCGTTCTTGCCCTGGCATGGCCTTGGGCGCCATGCCCTCCTTTCTCCCCTGGAGCTAAAAAGGAGTCACCTTGAAACTCCTCACTCCCAGCACCAGAGGAGTTCTGAGGCCAGTGCTCAGACCTGTAACAGTAAATGACGTTATCTACTCAGGCTGAGAGTTCGGCCTCTGAAAGCGGGTTTTGTAAAACCCATTGTTAATTCTCAGGCTCTGTTGGGGGTGGTCAGAAATCTAATGTGTGAGTATCCTATGCATTGGATAAGGGAATGTTTTCCCTGTGTTTCTCCTCTGCAGACTCGGATTGTCTTTCCTTGATGTTAACTATCTTAGAACTGGCTGCTTCAGAGGGCTGGGTATTTGGCTGTTTGCAGGCTTATAAACAGTATTTTGATTTTACCTTGGCCACAGACTGAAGTGCAGCCCTTTAGGTTGGCTTTTCAGATGCCTGCTGTCCTTGAAGCACTTTCATTTTACCTAGCTCCTTTTTGGTATGAATGCAAAGCTGGTTTCTAATAGACTGAGAAGAGAAGGGGGACCCGGCTTCCTCCTCGCCTCTCCCCAGCCTGCTCCCTGGGAACATTTTTCTGTTTGCACAGACACCTGTCCGTCTGCAGTTTGTGCCATGGGGCTGCACAATTCCTAACCTTCTACCCACCTAATTTGAAGGCAAGGGGGCCTCATCACAGAGCCTCATGTTGAAGGCTCAGGATCTGCAAGAGAAAGCTTTTCCTTAGGAACCTGTGACTTCACAAACTCTCCCTGTCATTGCAGAGTTTTTTTTAAGCTTCTAAACGTTGGGTTGTTGGTGTCCTCTGGTTCAGCTTTTCCTAGTTCTGGTATTTAGGAAGGTGGCTTTGAAACTAGCAGGGCTGCTTAAACAAGAGCTACAGCTATTGAACAAACTGCTACCATTTTAGCTTCAACACAGGAATGAGGCAGTGTTGCCAGACGCCATTTTAAGAATCCTGCATAAATAGCTTAGCTACCGATGACTCTGCCTGTTTTAGGTGAGTGCTTATATAAAGCTGCTCTGCTAACCATTCCCCCCACCCCAATTTCTTAAAAAATTAATTGCAGATTTAGGGAAGCATGGTTTGTAATTTTGATGTTCACTGTTTTGTAATCTATGTTATGCCTTGGGGATTAAATATTTCTTACAGCCTGGACCATTTTGGTATTTTGAATGAAAGTAAAAACCAGGAAAAAGTCCTTTCGAATGATGCATGATTCTTGAATTGCTGTGCTATGATCCTCATCTATAGAACCAGAGTTGTGTGCATGTTGGTTATATATTCTAGATGGCTTAGATATTCTTCTTTAAAAGTCAAATAGTAGGGGCACTTGGGGAAAAGAAGTATGTGGGCATTGTGTATCCAGGCATTTTTCTGTCAAAACTAGATGCTTTCTTTTTTCTCTCTCTTGGAAGTGTTGAGATGAGATTCCTGGGAATTACGGACCATCCCTGAGTCCTCAGAATTAATAATCAGAAGGCTTAAAGCATCCTGGAGGTGCAGTAGTTCATCTGCAACTTTTAATTGCTCTTTTTTCAGTGCATGCAGGTTAAGAAGTAAGCATAGGTTTTCTTGCTTAGGCACTAGGGGAGATATCTTTTCTTCTTTTTGGGATGGGATGGGGTGGTCTTGATTGTCTTTGCAGGTACTGTTATTTCTTTGAATTGCCTGACAGGTATCAGTTTGTGAAATCTACAGGCAAGTGACTTGGCTAAATATGAATGTAAGAGGTGGTGATGTATATAATGTATATAACTAGTTGATAGTGTATTTTCTTGTTGGAGTGAGAAATTGTTGTTTGCTTTTCAGCTAATTTTACCCTTTTCTTTAGAGGGCCCCCAGTTTCCTCAACAGACCTTTTCAAGGGAAAAAAAGTAATGACAGTTTGAAACAAGACCTTGTTGTCCCATTGTTTTTGATTTAAATCATCAGGGTTGCTAGAAGCTAGCAGATACGGAAGGAAACAAGCTGTATACGTTCTAAGAGTTTAATGTGTTAATGACAGAAGTTCAAAGTATTTTCTCCAGATGCAGCTGCCTTTTCTTTTTAACAATTATTTAACTGTTTTTTCCCCCTAAATGACTGAACAATTCTTAACCAAAATTGACCAACATCTGTGGGACAATTGAGACAGGTACAGATCTTTTCTTCCCACTACTTTTGATGTAATATTCATGTTTTTCCCCTAATAACATACGAGTTTTTCACGTTAAACCAAAAAAAAAAAAAGAAAAAACAAACAAACAAAAAGCAAAACCGAAATCAGTGGTGTAGGAAAAAGGAAGTCCCTTTAGATGTGGCTATTCAAAATGACTAATTTTGCATTCTGGTCTTTGCTTTTGTAAATGAAGTGTTTTTTTTTTTTTTTTTTTTTCTTCCTAGACACTGCAGTTTCCTTTAGTCAAATACAAGTTATTGTGTGTGTGAGTGTGCATGCATGTGTGTGCACGGGTTCCTTTTGAAAGGATGGTTTGCTGATCTGTGAAAAAGATGGTTTTCTTAAATTGTTGTGCTTGAAATCCTGTGCTAAAGCTGGTGGTGCTATTGCTAAAGTTGGGTGATTATGGTGCCCACTTGTAATACTTGGAAAGATAAAACAGCTTAACTTTTTTTCCCTCTCTCTTCTGCTCCAGCATTGATTATCTTAAAACTCAGAAGCAAATAAAACTAGTTTGCATTTTCCTCCTCTCTCAGCAGCATTCCTGCCTGAAGTATTCAGCTCCTCTAGGCTGTTACAAGCCAAATAATTGTTCCCTTGAATACAGCCTTCCTCCATGATCAATACACCTTTGAATGTTTTCATCGCTGCAGAAATCCTTCAAGTGGGTTTTTTTGGCTTAGTTCTGCCTAATTGTTTCCCTCACCACTGTAGATTTCAGTTTAGCGTTTTTTCTATTACTCAAAATATGGGATCAGTTTCAAGGAGTTTAGAATTTCACATGCTTCATGCGAGAGAGGGAAACAGAATTCTAGTTACTAGAAAAGATCAAGGTTGCTATTTGTTCCTTTGAAGTTAACTGTCTACCCATCTCCGAGGGCTGCATGGGGCTTTTTGTTGAGATGTATTTCCAGTCACTCCAAGCATCCAGTTGGACAGCCTGTGTGTGTTTCAGGCAGAGTGTGTTTCTGAGTTGAGAACGTTTTCTCCTTAAGTTGGAATAGAACACATTAGTGTTGAAATCACTTTCAATAAATCACTATTGTTTTATTGCATATAAGTGATGTGTTTAAATTTAGCAGGCTGCTTTCTCCTGATGAAAACCATTTGTGACAACATATCAGTTGTTTCTTTGGTGATTTGTGTCATAGGCTTTCTTTACAGATGCTGTGTAAATGAAATTGTTAACCGGGTCCAATATCTGGTTGCCAAATATGTTAATATTCTCACTTAAACCCAACTACCTTTCTTTTCTATGCTGGGACAAGTTAAGTCTGAGGTCTTCAAGCTCCTATAATTTAATTTGGAGCTAGGATATTTTCCTTTCTATCTAGATCTCATGGGAAAACTCTCCTCCTAACAAACATGGAACTCTCTTAAAATCTTCTCCTTATACTAGGGTTTGAGACACGAGGCTGCCTTTCTGGGCCTGTCTTTTGCCTCGTCACAGCCCCAGACCACAGAACACAGACAGGACATTCTCTCTTCCCCAGCCTCCTTCCTGCCCTGCCTTTGAGTCTTCCAAATGGAAAATTCCAGCCATATCAGCTGGCGATGCACCCATTTCTTCCTGTGGGACCAGCCACAGTCTGATGGAATTGCTTCTGGAGTAAATGCCCAGTTTCTTACTACTTTAGTGTCAGCCTGTTTGGAAAGTTCTAGCACCTCAAACCATTTGCACCTATGAAAGCAGAACTCTATTTTTTTTCCTTTGGTTCAGCTTGTGAGTTCTCTGTAGGAGGAAGATCTGATACGGCCGGCTCTCTTTCAACCCCAGTTCCAGCAGAGAGAGGGAGGATGTTCTGGGTGACAGACCCTCCCAGCAAAGGGGCTTGCTTTATTTGCTCCTCTTCCCAACCCTCCACTCTTAGCCTTTGTCTTTTGAATAATCCTTCCACATTCCACTTTTGTGGTGGCGGATAATTAGTCACAACTCAGTAGTAAGCCGTGCCCGCTGTAGAGAGGAAGCATTCAGGGGTTGGAAGTGTGGAGACCTGGTTCTGATTCCTGGAATCAGTGCTCCCCGGTTCAGTGTTTTGAGACCAGGTCTTTAGCTTCTAGCTGGGCATATTTTTCTGCTTTGTAATTTAACCTATATCTTTTTTTTTCTTTTCATGTTCCTGCCTCATCAGGGAATTGTAAGATTTAGGGGAAGGTGTGGGAAATCTTACTCTTTGCCCTAAAGTATTCAGAGATGAGAATTCTGGATACCCTGCAAAACACCTCCAACCGGCCTGCCTTTGAACTTTGTGTTAATAATGAGAAGCTTGTTTATTTGAAGGCTGGGTTCTCATAGGCCCACAGGGGTAGGTTGTAATTGTGTGTCTAAAAAATTGCCTTTTGCATTCCCCAATAGCATGACAACTGGAATAGTAATTTGACTTAAAGAAAAAAAAAAGAACAACATTGGGTTTTAAAAAACTCCTGTAGGACTCTTCACACTTTGTTGAAATCAGGTGTGGGTTCCCTTCCCCCACCCCTGGATAAGGATGAGGGAATGTCCTTAAGGTGGGCGTGTTGCTAGAACTTCCAAATAGCTGCCCCCATGGGATAAGTTCTCAGCCCACCTAAACATGAACGTAATTTGCTCTGTTTCAGCTTGGCTGAAGAGGAAGTAAAAGCAGAACAGGAGGTGGTAGAGGGCATGGATATCTCTACTCGCTCCAAAGGTAAGTAAAAATCTTGTATTATCTGTTCTAGAGCCGAGGAGGAAATTGGAATTTCTTTCTGATGTAGAGCAGTGGAGTGTGGCTCTCCGAGCCGATGTTGTAACTCTCCTTGGGTTTTCAGATAGAAGATTTTTTGCTGGATGAACCTAATTTATGGAGAACTCTCTCCTCTTGGTTTTCTTCCACTGGTGTCCGTATAGGTGTCCTGACAGTGAATTTTACCTGTGTGTCATGACGGAGAGCTGCTGGCTACCTCTCCGCAGGGTGACTTTCAGGAGCCACAGTTTCAATGAAGCATGTTCTGGAAGCCACCAGAGCCTCCAGCTGCCGCTCGTTTTCTGACTTTAACAACAGGCCTCTTTGGAATCCCAGGAGTGGGATGAAGTCAGGCCGCTTCACTGGAAAATGGTGGTCTTGGGTCAGAGATAAAATGGAAATGTAGAGCTTGCTGAGATGCCGGGGCCAGTGTTTCCATTTAGTTCAAAATTTAGCAAATGAGGGCAAACACAATTTATGTGTGTATTCACAAGCCTGGAGTAGACTCCTGAATATCTTCTAATTGAGGGATTGGTACTTCTCATTTGGTCTGTGTGAAAGAGATTTTATGAGGCTTCCCAAAAGGAGGCAGTTACTTACTTTTGTCTTCAGGGTGCTTTTACAAATGAGCTACTGGAGTATTTTTCATATCTTTGGTTCATGAAAAGGCTCATCTCCAAACTTAATGGTTGTACCAGGGTGTTTTCATTTCTTCAACAAGTCAGTGCTTGCCCTGGGGGTGATGGGGAGGAAGGAAGAGGCTGAGAGGGTTATGCAGGCTACTGGAACGAGATTCCCATTTGGCTACAGAGTGTGGCACAAAGTGACTCCCTAAAGGTATCTGAAACAAAACGCATTTTGAGGATTGTTATAAGATGGCATGCCACTGGTGTGGTGGCTCATGCCTGTAATCCCAGCACTTTGGGAGGCTGAGGCAGGTGAATCACCTGAGGTCAGGAGTTCGAGACCAGCCTGATCAACATGGAGAAGCCCCATCTCTACCCAAAATGCAAAATTAGCTGAGTATGGCACATGCCTATAATCCCAGCTACCTGCGAGGCTGAGGCAGGAGAATCACTTGAACCTGGGAGGTGGAGGTTGCCGTGAGCGGAGGTTACAGTGAGCCGAGATGGCACCATTGCCCTCCAGCCTGGGCAACAAGAGTGAAACCCCATCTCAAAAAAAAAAAAAAAAAAAAGAGCATGTCACTGGGCGTGGTGGCTCATGCCTGTAATCCCAGTACTTTGGGAGGCCGAGGCAGGCAGATCATGAGGTCAGGTGTTCGAGACCAGCTTGGCCAATGTGGTGAAACCCCATCTCTGCTAAAAATACAAAAATTAGCTGGGTGTGGTGGCAGGCACCCGTAGTCCCAACAACTCGGCAGGCTGAGGCAGGAGAATCACTTGAACCTGGGGTGGAAGTGGAGATTGTAGCGAGCTGAGACTGTACCGGAAGTGGAGATTGTAGTGAGCTGAGACTGTACCACTGCACTCCAGCCTGGGAGAAAGAATGAGACTGTCTCCAAAAAAAAAAAAATATCACTATTGATGGTGACCATGACCAACTGGGTATGGTAGAGCTTTCTTCTCTTTGCATCCTCTGCTCTTTGGAAGGAAGTCACAATGTGTCACCCACGCTTAGGAGTCAGGAGTCATGCTCCACCTCCTCGAAAGCGGAGGCTTGACATAAATTATCTGGGGGCCAGGTGCAGTGCCTCATACCTGTAATCCCAGCACTTTGGGAGACTGAGGTGGGTGGATCACTTGAGGCCAGGAGTTCGAGACTAGCCTGGCTAACATGGCAAAACCCCATCTCTACTAAAAATACAAAAATTGCCGGGTGCGGTGCCTCATGCCTGTAATCCTAGCCCTTTGGGAGGCTGAGGTGGGTGGATTGCAAGGTCAAGAGATCAAGACCATCCTGGTCAACATGGTGAAACCCCGTTTCTACTAAAAATACAAAAAATTAGCTGGGCATGGTGGCGCATTCCCAGCTACTCGGGAGGCTGAGGCAGGAGAATTGCCTGAACCCAGGAGGCGGAGGTTGCGGTGAGCCGAGATTGCGCCATTGCACTCCAGCCTGGGTAACAAGAGTGAAACTCTGTCTCAAAGAAAAAAAAACAAAAATTGCACACCTGTAATCCCAGCTACTTGGGAGTAAAGTAGGGAAATCAGTTGAACCTGAGAGGTGGAGGTTGCAGTGAGCTGAGATTGCACCACTGCACTCCAGCATGGGTGACAGTGAGACTCTTTCTGAAAAAAGAATTTAGAATTGTTCTGTATGGGGTACTGGTCTCTTCTCCCTCATGCATTTATTCAGTCATTTATCTCTCTCAGTATGGACTCTGGGATGGTTACTTTATGCTGTGGGTTGTAATCCAATACTACCTATTTGTTTTATTGCTCAAATCATTCCAGCTTTGGCAGTTGGGAGCTCTTTCCGTTGGCTCTTGTGTCCCCTCGACAGACTCCATCGTTGTGGGGTTTGTTTATGTGTTTGTTTGAGACAGAGCCTCGTTTTGCTGCCAGGCTGGAGTGCAGTGGTGCAGTCACAGCTTCTTGCAGCCTTGACCTGCTGGGCTCAAGCGGTCCTCTTGCCTCAGCCTCCCAAGTAGCTGGGACCACATGCATCACCACAATTGGTTAATTTTTGTTCTTTTTATTTGTAGAGATGGAGCCTTGCTAGGCTGGTTGCCCAGGATGGTTTTGAATTTCCCAGACTCAAGTGATCCTATACCACTTTGGCCTCCCAAAGTGTTGGGGTTACAGGCGTGAACCACCCCGTCTGGCCTGTTTATTTATTTATTGAGCACTTTCTGGCTCTATATGATGCTGCAGGCTCATCTTGTATGTGTTTGCCTCAGCCCTAGAATCATCCATTTCTCTATGAATCCTGGTTTCTATTTTTGGAGAATGGTATTAGAAACCAAGATATGGGCACTAAGTGTGCTCTTTTTTTTTTTGTTTTAGACAGAGTCTCGCTTTGTTCAGGCTGGAGTGGCGTGATCACTGCTCACTGCAACCTCCACCTCCCGGTTTTAAGCAATTCTCCTGCTTCAGCCTCCTGAGTAGCTGGGACTATAGGCGCCCACTGCCATGCCTGGCTAATTTTTGTATTTTTAGTAGAGATGGGGTTTCACTATGTTGGTCAGGCTGGTCTGGAAATCGTTACCTTGTGATCCACCCACCTCGGCCTCCCAAAGTGTTGGGATTACAGGCATGAACCACCGTGTCCAGCCAAGTGTGCTCATTGCTACTGGAATGTTTTTGCTTCTAGATTCTCTCTTTTTTTTTTGAGATGGAGTCTGCTCTGTCATCCAGGCTGGAGTGCAGTGGTGCACTGTCAGCTCACTGTAACCCCTTCCTCCCAGGTTCAGGCAATTCTCCTGCCCCAGCCTTCCAAGTATCTGGGACTACAGGTGTGCACCACCATGCCTGGCTAATTTTTGTATTTTTAGTAGAGATGAGGTTTTGCCATGTTAGCCAGGATGGTCTCGAACTCCTGACCTCAAGTGATCTGCCTGCCTCGGCCTCCCAAAGTGCTGGGATTACAGGTGTGAGCCACTATGCTTTTATGAGGCTTTTATGAGCCAAATACTTTATTTTTATTTTTATTATTATTATTTTTTTTAATCCTGCCTCAGGTTTATTTGTACAAATAGCACAGGAGGACCCCAGCCCCATGCAGATGGCAGCCCCAGGGGAGTTACACCAGTCCTTCTGTCCTCACATTGGCAGACAAAGATATCTATTCTGAAGCCTTTGTAGGGGCCTGGGCACCTTTGAGAGCCTGAGCTGGAACTGAAACTGGAGCTGAAGCCTGGGCCTTGGTTTGATCCTTGGCCTTGGCCTTGACCTTGACCTTTGGCCGGCAGAGCCTGAGCCCCTTGGCAATGCGTGCCCGAGCACGCTTCCCAAGCTTGGGGTGGGCGATGTAGGCAAGTCGATCGAGCTTGCGGCTGACACCCTTTGGGATCTTGGGCTTAACCTCCTTGGGCTTTATGAGGGCCTTGATGGCCTCAGCTCGTGCACTCATGGCCTTGGCATTGTTGGCCTGCATCTTCTTTAGGCACTTCTTGTTGTGCTTCTTGGCAAAGCGCATGTTCCTCAGGAACTTGGGGTCCACATCCTTAAGAGACTCGTATCTTTGTGATCGGGGTTTCTTGATACCATTTCTGTGCCATTTTCGGGACTGGTTGTGTGTGGTGTGGTTCTTGGACTTGGCCATGTCTGCACCCAAGCCGCGGTTCCCGAAGCTCCTAGGACGGGAAGAGACTAGCCAAATACTTTAAATGAGGTAATGCATACATACCTCAGAAAGGCATCTGGCTCATCAAAGCACCACACTTTTATTTTTTTGCGATGCAGTCTTGTTCTGTTGCCCAGGCTGGAGTGCAGTGGCAGAATCTTGGCTCACTGCAACCTCCGCCTCCTGGGTTCAAATGATTCTCCTGTCTCAGGCTCTGAAGTAGCTGGGACTACAGGTGTGTGCTGCCATGCCTGGCTAATTTTTGTATTCTTAATAGAGACAGTCTTACCATGTTGGCCAGGCTGTTCTCCAACTCCTGACATTAAGTGATCTACCTACCTCAGCCTCCCAGAGAGCTGGTAGTACAGGTGTGAGCCACCTTGCTTTTAGATTCTGTCACTGGCCAATAAGGAAGCATATATACACACATCTGTAAACATTTTTACATGTATCCATCTGTGCCTCTATCAGCTAAACATGAGTTCATACTCTTGTCTGACCCTTTCCCATTCCTGCATGGATCATTCTGGCCTTCTTTCCTAGTTTCTCTGTAACCTCCTACTCCAACAGTGAGAAGACTGGCTTCCACTGTTCACCATTCGTTTACTATTTTCTGGTACATTTTAACCTGATCTACAGTGTACAGTCTGATGAACTTTTACTCACATTCGCACTTGTGGGACCATGACCCAGATCAAGATAATTAAACATTTCCA